ATGGTCAGCAACATGCATTTGGTCGCGTCGTAAATGCATGTGCCGGCATATTTTAAAACTCTGGCTTAAGATAGCTGGGGCACCCTGTATAAGCGTTTAGAAAGAGTTTGCAAAAAAAAGCGTGGTTAATCCTCCTATCGAGGAATACGTAAAACACGAAAGTGAAACGTGTGTTCACAGAGGTAGCTGAAAGTTTATTGTGCATTGTGTCAGCAACAGCAACAAATCGCAAAGTCACGTGAAAAACGGCCACAAGCTCGAAACTTGTAGCGCACACCTCAAGCACAAAGCACGCGCGAAATTAGCATACGCAGGATGGCCACGGACTAACAACTGTCAATGTTCGACACTCAAAGCGCGCTATTCAAATAGAAAGAAAGACACACGAAACGGGCACACACAGCGCAAGCACGAACGACTGTCACAATTCTCACTTCGCCGTGGATCAGCAGCGCGCTCCTTTCGTAGACGCGGTCGTGGCAGCGAGTGAAGTGACCTTCGTCCTCTCCCGAATTGCGATGCAGTCTGATAAGCGCGCACGCAGGAGAGACCATGCCAGGAAACACCTTATCATGCTCGGTGGAAGTGACGACCTTGAGAGCGCGTCGAACGCGAGCCCGTGGTGCCATCTCATTACTGAGAACTAAAACGCGCAAACGTTTCGGAGCTCTGAGGACCACCAGACGGTGTGGGGTTAATATGAATGGCTTGCCATTAGCATCCTCGAGGACGCGCCCTTGGTGGCAAAGTGGTTGGCCGCGCGGCACACGCTGCGAATCGAGAGGTCACTGTTTCGACGCCGCCGAACAGAACCTCTCCTTGCTTTTTTTTTGCAATTTGTTAATATGAATTTTACGTGATATCCGCGACCGAAATACGTCAGCAGAGCCGTGGTGGACATCGGCATAAAACACTTTCGAGTTAAAAACTGAACGCTTACTTTCATATCCTAAATGGCGGACATTTAGCCTTCTTGTGTGTGCGATCTTTATGGTTCAGTGCTCTTATTGATTCAGGGGAGAAACAGTGGGAATATTTACGATGTTTAGGGTTATATTGCTAAATAAATTTACTCTTGCTTTTTATTCCAAACTCCACAAACTCCTCAACTTGTTCTTGAACATTTGGTTTGTCAGTAACCTGTTAACAATCAATGGTTGACAAGTAATAATAAAAGCCCGTGTAGCCACCTCTCTTTAAAGTAATTATTGGAGATTAGTTGAAATGACTACTGTAGCTCGTTGTTTTCGCACATACATGTAATGTTACATTGAGTGGTGGGGAAATTTGTCAGCACGAAAAAGAGAGGTGTCGGAGCGTGAAACTTCAACAGGTTAATCATTTGACAGACAGAGGTCTAAGACGTTGTCTCTGCCATAGACCACTGTATTATGTTGCAGTAGAGAATTAAACGCCACGAAAATCCAAGAGCAGGCTGCACCTTTTCACAATAAAATGATTATAGTGAGAAAAGGTAGGCACGCTGCCGTCAATTTCAGACACATTTAAGTCACCAAGAAAAATATTTTTGTGCCCGAATTGAGACGATATCATATGTTCAATAGAAGACGTGATATCATGAAACACAGCAGGGGAAATTCTGGGTGGTAAGTATAAACATCCAATCAACAATTTTTCACTGCGCTGAAGGCTGATTTCTCACCAGATTGACTCTTCAAAACATTTAAGCTGTTTTTGTCTAATGGATTGCAGTGAATTGTCAATGGAAAACAGCACGCCAGTGCCTTCCTGTTTGGTTGCACTGAAATCTTGCCCGCTGCGGAAGGTGGTGAATGTCGCCAGAAGAAAGTCAGGTCAGGGAATTTTAGCGTCTAGCCAGGTTTCAGTAAGGGCAACTTTAGTAATTGAAGAAGGAAGAACGTTCGCGAAAAACTCGTTTGTCTTGGTACATTGTGGTAGAAGCAATCTGGTAGAATATGTCTACATTACACGGCAGTTTGACAGCAGGCACTAGCTCAGACGAATTAAGCATGTCGTTGCGCGGAGCACTCCCTGAAAAGGCTTGAAGAGGCATCCGAGAGGCCACTATGAAGGGTCATTCTGGTACTGTAGTGTCTCCTCGTCAACCTCGATGTAGAATGAAAAGTACATCTGAAATTCAGTGAGAAGACGCCGTCAAGAGATGGAAGAGAGATCCATTGAAGTAAAAAAGTCGCAGTTTCACCAAAAGGGCAAAGCAATGAATGTGATAGCAACCTATTTAACTGATTACGATGCAAGCATTTTAGGAGCAATATTGATTGTAGTTACCATGCGCTTGCTATGTAACCAAGTTTCCTGCGGCGCGGCCACAGTAGCTGACCGCAACAAGGCTCGTGCGTAGTGACGCCGTTGATATATGAAGGAAGGCTGGCAACCAACTCATTTAGATTCGATCTCACATAACCCTTCAAAACGCTCGTGTTAGAGAACATGGCTGGTCCAGGTAGACTTTTGGTGCTGTTTTTTTTGTGTTGAGAGTGTAGCCTGTAGAAGCTCCCGCCTGCTGTGGAGGCACAAGCCGTGCGCTGATCGTTGCCGCAATAGCGCGGCAACCATAAGCGCCCTCTCCCGCCCCTTGTTCGTTCACAAGATAAGCGCTCAGATGACCCCGGCTGGAAAGGCGATGTTCGCTGCACAGAAACAGAAGCCGAGCGCATCCTTCCCTATATATATATATATATATATATATATATATATATATATATATATATATATATATATATATATATATATATATATATATATATATATATCAGGGAAATAAGTGTATACTTAAGGGCTCGTTTTTCCGTGTTTTGACACAACATTAAGGAGATCTAACAGACAATAATGCCAAGGAAAGTATAAAGGAAGTTATTAGACCGAATTTACATTACAATTCAGTCTAATATAACTTCCTTTATACTTTCCTTGGCATTATTGTCTGTCAGATCTCATATATATATATATATATATATATATATATATATATATATATATATATATATATATATATATATATATATATATATATATATACATGTGAATGATGGAATGATGGAGGGTCCAGTGGCGGTGGCGGCGGTGACGACGGCAATATCCAGCCGCAGCTGTGCTTATAATTTCTATTGCATTAATATGTTCGGTGTTGTCAACAGCAGATGTGTGCAGGCTCATCTTCGGCACAAAAATGGTGTTTGGCCATTGCGGTTGATGTGGTCGTTGAGATACAGATATCAGCGATGATGCCATGGCTGTAACCGAGGTATATAGCTTTCTTTCTTTCACTTTCTGGTGGAAGAAGAACAGCAGAAGAGGCTGTCACAGGAATCGCGCTGCGTCACTCGTACGTGTCTTCAGCTGGCGGCAAATTCAAAGGAGAAAGTATTGGAGAGAGACTATCCATACTACGCAGGCGGCTTGTAAATTGCAGATCGGTCACCACTCGCATGCTTTGGGAGGGCCACAGCTGCCGTCACAGGCATTGCTGCCGTGCACTTCATCTACACCTTACGCAGGAAGCAGACCTCTTCCCGTAGGGAGGCGATGACACGGGCTTGGTGTTGAGCACCGAGGGACTGATCCTTACGCAGGCGCTCGTTTTCTTCGCGTAGTTGAGATACCTCGTCGCTGAGAAACGAGATTCTCTTCAACACGAAGAGGAGGAAACGGCGCAGACCAGCGAGATCGCAACCTGCAGCAACACACGTGGGTAGGGAACTGGTTCGGGAGCTGCATTCCTCACCGCAAGCCACAGAGTCGTTTTTGCTAGGCTTGGCATCAGCATGGCTCGGATCACACAAATTGCAGAGAAAGGAGCGAGATCTAGGCTTCAAAAGTTGCAGCTCTTCATCAGGCCAAGTTACACACTTCGCGCGAACACGCTCAGAGCAACTTTCACAGTGGAAAAAAAACTGCTGCTTACAGAAAAACGTGCAGGAGCACAGCAAGCATGCGTCCCTAATGGGAGCCATGGTGCGGAACCATACTACTGCTCACACTACTACTAGTACTACTACTACTACAAATAATATTACTAGTATATATTATTATTATTAATATCTGGGGCTCTACGTCACAGAGCCATATGACGATGAGAGATGCCATAGTGGAGAGCTTCGGAAATTTACTTTATCTGATGTACTTTGACGTGCACTGACATCTAGTACATAGGGCTTCTGGTATTTCGCCTCCTTCAAAATGTGACTGCCACGCACTGGATAGAACCCACAACCTTCGAGTCAGCAGCAGAACCCCAAAATCAATGCTCCACCATGACGAACAGTTAGGTCATCCTGGGCGTGTGCTTGTTGCGCTGATTGGTGTTTCAATTTTTGTTTCACCGTTCAACTAGGTTGAACTTCACTAGGCCACAGTAATTACTATATGCCGCTTTCCTATATTTTAAAGCTGTGATTGCTATTTCGCCGAAAAAAACTGCAATATCTCTCATTTGACGTAGCCACTTCACTTCAGTATATAAAGCGTTATCTTGCCTGACTATTTGAATAATTGTCCCAAATGCTGTCTGTAATGATCTTAAGATGGTTGCGGCAACAAGAAAAGGCAATTATGAGTACATTGAGCAAATATCGAAATATCCTGATTTTGAGCAGCATTTCAGACACATTTCTCGAAACACGTGCCCTGTAAGTGTTGTGCCATGACAGAGCGCAAAACTAAGTAGTTTTCGAGCGGTGGTGGAGTGGCAATAGCGTTGCAAATAGTCAAGCAGATCCTCCGTGAGCAGTCACAAAGTGCTTAATTTCGACATTTCAGCCAGAGTCTGGCCTTCATCGGAATCCTGATGAAGACCAGACTCTGGCTGAAACTTCAAAATAGACCACTTTGTGACTGTTCACGGAGGATTTACTTGACTCTCTCTCTCTCTCTCTTTCTCTCTCTCTCTCTCTCTCTCTCTCTATATATATATATATATATATATAGTGTGTGTGTGTGTATGTGTGTGTGTGTGTGTGTGCACATTTCTCACTGCGTTTCATTTTACCTATTCGCAGTTCATGGAGCTGAGCTCGAGGGGGAACTTCACTCGTCAAGAGATACTTGCAGCGTTAACGGACAACCAGGGTAACATGGACATGGCGTACGCGCAGCTGACAAAGGCCACGCTCAAGCCGTTCCTCATGCGCATCTGGGGGCCTGGCACGGGAGTAGACAACGACGAAGGTCGCCGGCCGTCTCCGCTCGGCGACAAGCGGGAGGAAAGTGTCACGGATCGAGTCAAGGACTGGCTCGAGTCCCTGGACGCAGCATCGCAGCTGCCGTCCAGTAACACGTCCTCGCTCGATGAGAGGCGGGGCAAGCGCCACTCGTTTCATGGTCACCGCAGCGACCAGTCGTTCTGCAGCGGCAACCGTGACCGATCCAGCTCACCAGCTTCGTCCTTCTCGAGCCTTAGGGAAACCTCGGAAGTGAGCAGCGTCTCGTCGGCCGTCCCCGGTGGCAGCTCCAGGCTCGAAGCGATTCTCCGCCGCCGAGAAGCCCAAAAAGAATTTGAAAAGGATCGCAAGTCAAAGAAGGAAGCGAACGCCGATGGCAGCAAGAGGCGATGGACGCTCGCTTCGGTTTTCAGCGCTAAGAAGCCCAGTTCGCCCGTCAAAAAAGACGCGTTCAGAGAGGCAGGTTCCTCGGCTCAAAAGTCCTCTTCACAGACGACGCTGGCGTCTGACACCACACAGCTTGACAGCAGCAGCAGTGGTGGAGCTACCGAGTCGATCGAAACGCTGACGTCGATCGAAGCTACAGGTGCGAAGCCAAAAACCTTTTTGGGCCGTTTTTCATCGTTGAAAAATGACAGTAGAAAGAAAGACACAAAGGCGACCGAAGCTGCCGAGTCGGGTGCTTCAAACAATTCTGTGAAAGGCTCCCCTATGGCGCAGAGGGCTGCAGAAACATTGAAAGATGAGTCGGATAGCAAAACTGTCACAATAAAGGAAACAAACACACTTGAGAATCAGACACCAAACGCACAAGAAACAAAGCAAAAGGATCATGCTAGCGGAAACACTACACCATTTGCTGCAAACCGAAATGCAATTGAAAACATAAAGCAGTCTATTCACGCCGCGAAAATTTCGTTCATGTCGGCTCCTCCAGGTGCTGCTGTCCAGCATTCGCCAGAAGACGCCTACGAACAATCAGATAATGGGCCCTTGCCTCAGAATTGTGGACGAGATAAGTTAGGTGGAACCTCGTTGACGAAAGACTCCGTTGAAAAACCGATAGAAAACAATTCCAGTGAACTAGCTGTTGACGAAAATCTCAAAAACGAGATGGAAGTTGATACTCACAAAGGAATACAGCTACTAAACGTAACGGAAAATACGCAAGCCACCGTAGCGAAGCCGTCCAGTTCTCCAAGCGAAAGCAAAGGCACATCACCGGAAAAGCAACCTGGCCAGTCTCCAGAGGCACACGCGGTTAGCAGAAATACCGCTGCTAATGCCAAGTGTGCATCGCCTCTTAGGCCACGAGATACAAACGTTGTTAACGGCGCAGACAGACAGAGTATGGTCAAAATGACTACAACAGAAGCTTTGCAACCATCAGCGTCATCAACGCCCACAGTCGTGATACACCACACTGAGAGCTCAGCCGCACTTTCGGCTCCTGGCAGCTCGAAAAGCAGCAGCCAGTCTGCGTCCTCCGAGTGCATACCTGTAAATGAAAGTGAATTGGTTGGCGCAGACGGGAACGTGAAAGCAGCCGAATACTCTTCAATGAAGAGCTGGCCAAGTGACGCTGATAAAGAAAATGCTAAGGCAGCGAGCGCAGTGAACACGGGAGGAGAGGGATCAACCTTTGCGGTTGCCAAAAAGCTGGGAAATCACCTCGCGGACACGACAAGCGTGAGAAGGCGTGAACGCCCGCTCACCAATGGGACTGCTGAGAACGTCGAGCTTGAGACACTGAGACCGCCGACTAGTGCGGGTAAGGGCGGCCCGCTCCGCCGGCCGTCGGTGAGGCGGGTCAGTCGTGAAAGTGCTGACGAATGTGTGGTCAGGGACCGTGACGGCAATGCTCTAATCGTGAAGCCACAAAAGCCGATCGAGCGTCGGGGCAGTGTCAATGCACGATCGGGCTTGCAGATTTCCAAGGCGGTGGCAGCCAACATCGCCAAACTGCGCTCAGTTCCACCCCCAAGAAAGCGCAAACAGGTGGTGCAACCCAGGCCAGCCGGCAAGCTTCCCACAGAGAAACAGAAACAGTACAAGGTACATCATATCATGTGTCCACCTGTTTTCTTTTGTATTCTGTTGGAAATGCACTACACTAAAATAATTAGTTAATTATTTATTACCCCGACGTAATGTCCATAACGTCAGGAGTAAACTATTTTCAAGGAAAAAAATGCTTTCAGTCTCTCTTATGCTCATCTTTTCACAATTCGCAAAGCTACCAAACTCTAACATTTTGAGGGCCATTGGAATGAAGTTCCTACACCTTCATTTTGCGTAAACTGAGATGTTCTCGTTGAACAAGCCGGGGTGTCTCAGCTTGCTGAAAAACCATTTTTGTGATAGGTGACTTAATAAATTTATGCGTGAGATCTGCTTCACTGTTGTTCAGAAAATTCTGATGGTGTAATAAACTCACTTGTCGCGTTGTAGCCACAGTACGAGAACTAGTATATTCTGGACCTCTTTCATCCGATGGTCTTCTAGAAATAGCTTGATCGGCTCATGAGTTCGGCGGTGTCGGCCTCAGATTATGATAAATTCAGATTTATCGGGTATGTTTTGAGACTAAATATGACGTAACTTCCCGTAAAAAGTAGTCTCGTGACTGAAGATCACGTGAAATCACGTAACTATTCACGTCACTGATTAAGTAGCAAAGCATAGTAGCTAGTCACGTGATTAAAAAATATGCAACATCGCTTAACACAATGTAAAGATGATTATGAGTATAGTCACGTAAATAAAATCACGTGTAATATTCTGTAACTACCAAGTGACTAAAATGACATATCATCTAGTCGCGTGATAAAACCACGTAACTTGTCACTTAAGATGCCTTCACCCAGAACCAGGTAACCGGTAAACACGCGACATGTTCCCTCCACAAACTACGCCGCTTTGGCCACGTGGTTAAAATCACGTAAAATGTAGTAACGTCACGAATATGGTAATATTACGCAGCCAGTCACGTGAATAAAATTAATTAACTATTAGTCGCGTTGCTAACATCACGCAAACGCTAGTCACGTCACCAAGATCGCGTAACATTACGGAACAGCTGTTAACGTGACATTATAGCGTCATCAACACGTAACTAGTCACGTGACTGAAAGTTAATCACGTGACATGTTCTCACTAAAATCACGTGACATCTAGTCACGTTACATTCTGCGAAAACAATACTGGTATTGACGTGAATAAACTTATGTAACATCACGCAACAAGTATATAGTCACGTGATTAAAAATCCCGTCACATCACGAATGAACTAGTCACGTAACTAAAATCACGTGAGATGTTCTTTGCAAGGATCTAAATTGAGCCGCGTATTCATCATCATAATCATCATCATCATCATCATCAGCCCGACTACGTCCACTGCAGGACAACTTTCGGAAAAATTGCCATGGTGGATACTGGAAAACATGGTGGGCGTAGTGGAAATAATAGTGGGCATGGTGGAAATTATGATGGATATGGTGGGATGTAGTGGAAATTATGGTGAATATGCCGGGACATACTGGGTGGTATGGTGTACATAAGATGGGTAAAGTGGAAGTGATGGTGGAAAGTAGAGGCTAGATAGTGGGCAATCATGGGACACTCTGCCCACCATTGTGATAATGCTGGGAAGCCCTAAGCATATGGTGGGTGGTGCTTATTATGGTGGGCCACATCGCGTACTAAGCTGAGAAACTCTTCCCATCATTGCGATAATGCTGAGAAGCACTAAGCTGATGATGGGTGCTGCTTGTTATGGTGGGCCTCATGGTATACCAAGCTGAGAATCTCTGCCCACCATTGCGATAATGCTGGGAAGCAGTAAGCAGATGATGGGTGGGCTTATAATGGCGGTCAATTTATATAGTATACCGAGCTGGGATCTGTAAACTACATGTTCTATCACCATGATTTCCACCAAAGGTTAGGCCTACCGACCGAGCCCATACAATTGTGTTATCCGTGCTTCTGCGTTTCAGAATCCACGATTTCGACGATTAAGAATGACAACACAGCGCAGCCATGGTATCAATTACCCTAAATTAAGCAGTTTTCATTGTGTATGGTGTCCGCTCAAAAAGCAACAAACATCGATGCGACGAGATTAAAGCACTCCCAGAGAAAGTACGTCTCTTCTCACCGACAGCCGCCGGTCGCACTTTCTCGCACTTCTCTAGATTTTATGCGAGAACTCAGACGTGGCAATTCGTATGCTTGGGGAACCATTATGATAGGGTAATGTTTCCGGCACACTGCGTTCGTTTTGGCCAAGCCGTTATGTAGTTGTTGCTATAGCGAAAGAGCTACAGCATTGCGCTGGCACGACCGCCCTCTACGTTGCGCGAAAAGCATCCCAATACTCAATCAAATAAATTAGGCGGGCGTATTTATGCAATGAGCCTAGAAGCGTCATAAAGCGTGAGCAGATGTTGCTCTTTAGAACGAACGCGAAACGGATATTAAACTTGGCAGACCCCGCTGGTAAACTGTTGCTGCTCCCCAGTAAACTTGGTTTTTTTTTCTTGCAGTTGTGAATTGTAAAAAAATAGCACTGGTGCCATTAACACAGTGGCAATCGTCATAGGCAGCAGTTGCTTGTGTTTAATAAACGCGCAATTTTTAGTAGCAGGTGCAGATCTCGTCTATGTCGTGTACACGACAAACATAACTGAAGTTTTTTTGAACGGTAAGTTTGTAACTCAACTAAATATTTAACACACACCCAACGTCATGTTGGTATGGCGCGGTGGTTAGTATCTGCGAATGGGAATCCGCAGGTTTCAAGTTCGATCCTCCGTGGCACCTTGTTTTTTTTACGGCACGGGTGCTTTTTTACACCGTTTTTATACAATTCTTTTTTTATTTTTTATGGCAGCTCGTCACGGTGATTATGACGCCATTTCGCGCTGAAGAGTTGCCGGCACTGCAGCGCCCACCATATCCCACCATGCGCCTTGATGGACGTTTCCCACCATTCACCCACTACATTATTCCACTATATTGGTGGGTGGTGATTTACACCATGCCCACCATTCGTTTTTTTTGTTATAGGGAGGCCTCTCCCATGTTTCACCAGTTAACCTGGTCCTGTGCTTGCTGCTGCCAATTTATACCCGCAAACTTCTTTATCTCACCTGCCCACCTAACCTTCTGTCTCCCCCTAACTTGCTTGCCTTCTCTGTGAATCCAGTGAGTTACCCTTAATGACCAGCGGTAACCTGTCTACGCGCTACATTTTCGGCCCATGTCCATTTTCTCTTCTTGATTTCATCTACGATATCCTTAACCCCAGTTTGTTCCCTAGTCCACTCTGCTCTCTTCTTGTCTCTTAAGGTTACACCTACCATTTTTCTTTCCATTGCTCGTTGCGTCTTCCTCAATTTAAGCTGAACCCTCTTTGTAAGTCTCCAGGTTTACCGCGTGCTCCTGTAAGCACGCGGTAAATAGCATTGAGGAGATTGCATGTGTCCCCCTGCCTTACGCCCTTCTGATTGGTATTCTGTTGCTTTCGTTATGAAGAACTACGGTAGCAGTTGATCCCCTGTAGATTTCTTCCAGGATGTTTATATATACTTCATCGACGCCCTGATTCCGCGGTGGCTGCATGACGGCTGATATTTCCACTGAATCAAACGCCTTCTCGTAATCTATGAAGGCTATGTATAGGGGTTGGTTATAATCTAAGCATTTCTCTATTACCTGATTGATAGTGTGAATGTGGTCGATTGTTGAGTAGCCTGTTTGAAATCCCGCTTGTTCCTTTGGTTGATTGAATTCTAATGTTTTATTTACTCTGTTAGCAATTACCTTTGTAAATAGCTTGTATACTACTCAGAGCAAGCTGATCGGCCTGTATTTCTTCAAGTTCTTGTCGTCTTCTTTCTTATGTATTAAGATGATGTTAGCGTTCTTCCAAGACTCTAATACTCTTCCCGTCAGGAGACACCTCGCAAAACAGGGTGGCTAGTGCATTAAGAGGCCTGGGGTGCGGCCTCACCAGTAACCACCGCCGGGAAAGCGCTCCCTCACCAGAGAAGGATTGGCCACCCTGGTGCAGTATCTGGCCACTACCTCCCACATGCATACGTCAAAAGAAAAACAATGATTTGATTTACATTCATCTTCTTTCTTATGTATTAAGATGATGTTAGCATTCTTCCAAGACTCTGGTACTCTTCCCGTCAAGAGACACCTCGTAAACAGGGTGGCTAGTTTTTCTAACACAATCTGTCCTCCATCTTTCAGCAGATCTGATGTTACCTGATACTCACCAGTAGGTTTGCCTCTTTGCATGCTCTCTGAAGCTTTTCTGACTTCTTCTATTATTACTGGTGGGGTGTCATCTGGGTTACTGCTAGTTCTTATAGTATTAAGGTCGTGGCTGTCCCGGCTACTGTACAGATCTCTGTAAAACTCCTCCGCTATTTTAACTATCCTATCCATATTGGTAGTTATTTTGCCTTCTTTGTCCCTCAGTGCATTCATCCGATTTTTGCCTATCTCAAGTTTCCTCTTCACTGTTTTGACGCTTCCTCCGTTTTTCAGAGCGTGTTCAATTCTCTCCATGTTATACCTTCTTACATGGCATACTTTACGCTTATTATTCAACTTCGAGAGCTCTGCCCGCTCTATTTTGTCTGTTGTACTTGAGGCTTTCATCATGTGTTGCCTATTAATGAGATTCTTCATTTCCTGGGAAAGCTTGCCAGTGTCCTGTCTAACTGCCCTGCCTCCAACTTCCACTGCACATTCCGTAATAATACTCGTCAGATTATCATTCATTGTATCTACGCTAATGTTGGTTTCCTCCCTAAGAGCCGAGTACCTGTTCTGAAGCGAGACTCTGAATTCCTGTACTTTCCCTCCTAGTGCTAGCTCATTGATTGGCTTCTTGCGTATCAGTTTCGGTCGTTCCTTCTTCAAGTCTAGGCGAATTCGAGACCGTACCATTCTATGGTCACTGCACTGTACCTTGCCAACCACTTCCACGTCCTGCACGATGCCTGGATGTGCAGTCAATATAAAGTCTATTT